CTTATTTCTTCACTGCTTCAACTCCTCTCTCCTCCCCTTCCCCAACAGCAAACGCCAGATGTCACCAGAGGAGTCCCTGCATCCTCCTGGGTAGGTTGGCAGTGGGAGGCATCAGGCCAGGGCCGAGGGGCCTGGTAATTGGCCTTGCCAGACCCTCCAGAAACAAAAGCCCATGGACTCTGGGTCCCCAAACGATGTCTCAGGAGCCCTAGTTCTCTACTTCGAGATATCGCGGGTGGCTGTGGCCACTCCGAGAAGCACTGGTTTGGACTTTCCCCACGCTGGTGACGGGGAGTCAGACGCTGCCGGCAGCAGTTGCCCAGGCTTTAGGGGCCCCTTCTTAGCCTGCAGCTTCGTGGGCCCTTCCTGCAAAATAGTTTCCTGTTCTCCCTCCTTTTCCAAATTAGGGACCCAGAGAAGTGCTTGCTGCTTCCGACCTCCCTGGGGGGCTCAGAGGAGCAGGTGATGTGATGGCTCTGTGACTTGGGAGAGAAGGGCGCTGGTAACTTCCAGGGGTGGGTGATGCTGCAGTAAACCTCCCAGGATGGTACTTGCCTGCCCGGCCTGCATGCTGTGTGAGGGCGGAGGAGCCGCCCCATCCTGGAGGCGGGGGCAGGGAGGGGCCGGGGTAGGCAGCCTGCTTGGGTAGGCTGCTAATCTCCAGATCTTGGGGCTTATATATAGCGAAACTCCTTATCTTCCTTGCACCCTGTGGTGGGCAGAGCAGGTGGGGCGAAGGCCTTGGTGGAATGAAAACACCAGGGAGGGAAGGGACAGGGGCCTCTGGTGTGGACCCCCCAAAACATATAGGCCCTGGGGCAGTACCCTTCCTATTTCTTTCTGAGCTTCATTTCATCTCTGAAATAGGGGGTAATTAAGCCTTGTGCTCGCTTTACTTACTAGAGTGATTACATAAATTAATGGGAGAGTTTACAGAGGGCTTTGATCTCAGAAGAAAGGAGCCATGTGAGTTCGGGTTTGTTTACCCGTTTTATAGATGAGGAAAATTGAGTCCCTAAAAAGAGAACGTTTGACCTCTGGCTATTTGGCAAAGTTGGGAGTAGGGTACTGAGCACACCTCATGGTGGAAGAAATGGGGACGTGTGTGTCCTGCATGTGCCGGCAGTGCCTTCTGAAGCACAGGAGAGGCAGTGGGCAGAAGAGGCCGAAGCTGAGTAGAACCACCTGGGCCCTTCCAGGTAGGGTGGGGACCCCTGGCCTGTCAGCCTCATGTTGTAGCAGGCATCGTCTTCATGTGACTCTCCCCCATGGAGGTGGGCTCTCTTCTTGTGAGCTGTAGCCCCGATGTTCTGCCTGTTGGTCTTGGTAACGTGTTGACTGACTCTGATGCTGCCTCACTTGGCCATCCACATTGTCAGGGGGCTGCAAATCTAGAGCTTAAATCCTGGCGTGAAAGACCCCTGTCCTGTGCACCCCGGCATTGCCGCCTCACCGTGTCCACACCGCCCAGCCGTAGTCACTGAAGGGAAGTACATCGGTGCCCTGGGCAGAGACTCACTCAGTAGAAACAGCACAGCCTGCGTTCTCATCCTGCCTCTGCGGTGACTGGTTGACAGACCTCTTCTCCTGGGGCCTTTGCTTTTCCTCCGTCAGATGGGGCCACATCCACCTGAGTTCCCTTCGAGTGTGAGAGAAAGGGAGGAGGAAGAAAATAGGTGCCAAACTAGTTTCATCTGTGTAGTTTAGTTATAATGAAACCTTCATTAAAAAGTACGTTAAGAACCCTGGATATTCTGAAGTTCTAGGTCTGGAGGAGGACTTTGGACTGTGGCTTTAAGCAGGGATTCCCGGTGATGCTGATGCACGTGTTGAGAAACCCCCGGACTGGTTAAGGCCTGCCCTAGAGCCGTGTTACCTCGGGCAAGTTACTTACCTGTCTTTGGGAGGTCGGGTGATATTGATGCCGCTGTATAAGGTGGTCTTGAGGGTCGTCGTGACGGCAGTTACTTATGGGGTGCTTACTATGTTCTAGGCACTGCTCTGTTTTACAGATGGGGAAGCCGAGGCACAAAAGATTAGATAACACAGCTGGTAAGTGGCAGAGCTGGGATTCATACCCAGGCAGGCTGGCTGCAGAGTATACTCCATACCTGTAGGCTGGTAGCTCTCAAAGTGTGTTCCAGGGACCCCCTGGGGGTCTCCAAAGATCCTTTCAGGCCATCCATGAGGTGAGAGTGATTTTCATAATAATTCTAAGAAATTATTTTCCTTTTCACTCTCTTTCTCGCATGAGTGTACTGTGGAGTTTTCAGAGGCTACGCAACCTGTGATCACGTCATCGTTACGGTGGCTAATGGGATGTGTGCTTGAGTATTCTTCTTGTGTTTTAAAAATTCCTCGCTTTTAATTTCTAATGTGGTAAGTGCTGATACCTGTAATCTACATGAACAAAACCTCTTTGGGGTCCTCAGTGCTGTTGGGAGTGAAAAGGGGTCCTGAGACTAAAAAGTTTGCGACCTGTTGTTTGAGGCTGCGTTGCCTTAAATGTGTTCTTGTTGCGCGTGTAGCCACACCTCCCACGGTGTGGGGCTGCGGGGAGAGTCGGTGCCCATCCCAGGGAAGCTCCACTCTGCTCAGGGCCCTCCCTGCGCGGGAAAGTGAGCACTGAACCTGCGGGGCGCTCTGGCCGACAGCACGGGCAACCGCGCTGTTTGCGTGTGGTCAGCCAGCTGCCCGTGCCGGGGCTTCCACCCTCCGCCTTGCCGTGTCTGCTGCGCTCAGCCCTGACTGCAGGAGGGAGCAGGACTCTGCTCCCTGGCAGGCCTCTCCCTGGGTGGAGCTGCTGTGGCTCAGCAAGTTCTTGGCTGGGCCACACCGGAGGACTTCGTGATAATAAGTCATTTCTGTGCTGTTGGAATCTTGTACCAGTGTGTGTTTCAGGCCAGGCCTCACCCTAGGCCAGCACATTGCCTGCATTTTCTCACTGAACCTCACACCAACCCTGTGAGGGAGGTGCTGTTGTTAGACCCATTTTACAGATGAAACACCTGAGGCTCAGGGAGGTTCCAGTTGTGTGAGGGCCCACAGCTGGCAAGTGGCAGGGCCTGGACTCAGACTCGCTCTGTCTGTCTGGAGCCTGGGCCCCTGATATGTTCTGGTATCTTCAGAATGGTGCTCCTGCTGTGGCAGACTCACTTGTGTCTGTGGCTTGATGGCGGTGTGTCTCCTGGAGGTCTCTTCCAACCCAGGGCATTTGCAGTCTGCTGTTCCCCGGCTCCAGCTTTAGACCCAGGGTGTTTGGAGCAGCAGGCTGAGGTGTGGACAGAGTGCAGGTGTGAATTTTGGCTCTGCCATTTGCTGGCTGCGACCTGCCTGACCTTTCTGGTTTCCCATCTGCGTGTGGCACAGTTGTTGCTCCCTGGCCTCATGAGGAAAGACAGTGCAGGGAAAACTCACGTCGCAGGTGCTTAGAAACCAGTGGCTTCCATCGTGACACGACTGGCACAGAGCTATCGTCTTTCTCAAAACCTCGCCCCGGACCAGCCGTGTCAGTGTCTCCAGGACAGACTCTGGATTCTGGGCCCTGCCCCGACCTACTGATGCGCAGCTCTGCGGCTGGGGCCGGGCACCTGCCCTGTCAGCCAGCTCTCCCTAGGACCCAGGTGCACACTGAAGTGTGACAATCCCTGCTCAGGGGTTGGGAGCTGCATTCATCCCTCAGGAGATAGCAGCTAGTGCTTGTGTCCCTATCCGGATAGCTCTTTATCAGTAGGGTGGCCATGATTTGTTGTTTCAACCAGGGCGCTTCTGAGCATGAAAGGGGACCCCCGAGGAGTGCACAGGACTTCCTGGCACGCAGGAGCACTTCGGCACTGTTTTTCAGTTTCTCCTTTTATCTTTTGGACGGCCCTAGGAGATGCCATTCCCTTCCTCCTGGAGAAGGTTCCTTCCTTCCACGCATCTGTAACCCTGGTCCTGGATTCCAAAATGGCTGCGTGGCTCAGTCATCAGTGTTGGCTTACCCTAGCTGAGCACTGGTGCCGGAGGGTGTGGAGGACCCTCGATTTCTGTTGGAATCTTTTGAAAACTAACATAACCTTCGCAATGAGAAAAACCAACGTTAAAGCTATGAAACACACATCTAGAAAAGATAAGACCCAGATGAAAATGGAGGATTCTGTCGGCAGAAAGGAAGCAGGTGTGGCGTGTGTTTGTGCCTCCTCTCCTCAGTCCCTGGGGTTCCCTCCTGGGCCTGGCTGTGACCCGTCAGTCACACAGATGATCAATGGCCCTCTGGGCAGAGGGACAGGGAGAGGACCCTGACATCAGCTCTCGGACAAAGCAGATGTCGTATTCGGGTCAGTCAATTTCTTTTCCTCCTGATTGCCTGAGAGGCCAATTGGGTGATTTTCCCCCCTGCTCTGATAAGGACATCTCTGCGGCAGTCTGTTTTTGTGATGTGGAGAAGGCTGCAACTGCAGGGAATTCTTGAGGGAAACCTGAGGTTAGCATGCGCTAAATATAACCAGTGACACGGTCGAGCCTGTGATGAGAAGCCAGCAAAGCCCCTGCGCATGGAGGTCGGGGTATTGCTGGTTCAGACGGAAATAGACACCTGCCAGAGGGCATGCTGGCATCGGTGCTTGCAGGCAACCTTGGGCCAAATTTAGTCTCTGTCCCTGCTGCCTGGCTCTCTCCTGCCTTTTCCTGTCTGTTCCTTGGGGTGCTCCATCCTGCACCCGAGGGATTGTGGTCCTGCCTGCTGGCACCCTCTTGTTCCTGGTGTGGGTGGGACGAGCAATTCCTTGGTCTCCCTGGCGAGAGGGGCGGGCAGAGCCTCAGGAATGTGCTCACTGGGACCCTTGCCCCTCCTCGGTCCTCCCTGTGAAATGGTGTCATCGCAGGAAACCCCGGTTTATTTTCGATGAGTAAGATGTATGGGCTCGGGGGTCCCTTGGCCCTGAACTGCCCCTTCCTCACTTGGGTGGTGCTCTGTGTTCACAGGGAAAGATGGAGACGCTGAAGGACAAGACCCTGCAGGAGCTGGAGGAGATGCAGAATGACTCGGCGGCGATTGACCGGCTGGCCCTGGAGTCCTGTGAGGTAGAGGGAGGCCATTATGGGGCCCAACAAGGCCAGCAGATGGGACTTTTTAAGAGGCCATCTGAAAGAATGCTGCTTGTTAGGAGCTCTGGCCAAATTCATCTCCCTATTCTGTGGACATCACCCTGGTTTGGACCCAGCCAGAGGAGCCCCTGAGGTTTCAGGCCAGTTCCTGGGTCCTCTGGGAGTTCTCAGCAGTGCTAGGGAGCCCAGGCCCCCGCGTGGACTCGGACTCCGGGGACCCAGGTGCCCCAGGAGTTCTACACTGTCGTTCCAGCCGGAATCTGAGGCAGCTCCTCAAAGCACTGGTATGGCTTTTTAACCACCTTTCGCAAGGGCCGTGTGCAACCCTGTATCTCCAGGTGATTCTGAGATGCCAGAAGCCATTCTTAGCCGAGATATAGCTCATCTCCTCTTTGATCTTGTTTCTTATCATAACTGGCACCTAATTGTCTGAACTCAATCATGGAGTCCTCGTGGGAATAACGGTCACCCTTGTGTCTGTACAGAGCTTCACACTTCATACAGGGCTTTCCCTGCCCTCCCCATCTCCTGTGACCCTGTGACTCCCCTGTGAGGTCAGCGACCAGATGTGGCCACATAGCTGGAAATGCCCGCAGTCACCCTTTGAGTGGCTGCAGCCCACCCATTGTTCTGGAAGCTCCCGCCTCCCGCCCTTGAGGTGAGGGAGACACATGAACACAAATAATGCCAAGCTCATTTGATTAGCATTTGGAGTATATTTTCATTTTCACTGATGAACAGGTGTGGTATGTCACTTCTGTGAATTCACAATGTGTTTAAAAAAAAAAAAAAGCTCCCCAGCCAGCTTCCCTGTGCTGTGCCCCTTCTCAGAGCACTTCCGGGCCCTAAGATGTAAGCACCGACGTGTCCCCTGCTCCCGTCCCTGCTTGTGCTCTGCCCGCCACCCGCCCCCACTACCCAAGTGCGGAATCTTCGCTGGGGTTGGAGGTACCTGGCTCCTGATGGGCAGGATGTGAGGAGAGGTTTGGGGACTCTGTGTGGAGTGTCCTGCTGCCCAAGCCTTTATTACTGTCCCCAGCAGAGCTCACCCAGCGAGGGCGTGAAGCAAAGCCTGCCTCGCCTGGCTCCAAGGCCACTCAAATGGTTACTTAGGCTTGAGCTCTGCTGTGGCGTTGCCAGTACCTGGCAGGTGCTGGGTAGAGCGCAGGTCTTCAGTCCATCATCTTCCGTTCATCCCATATTAAGCACCAAATGTTTCTTGGTTCTGCTGTGAGCACAGTGTCATGGGAAGCCGAAGGCCTGCTTCCAAAGCACACAGAGCTGGGGAGGCTGATAGCGTCTGTGATGGCGCATAGCTTCACGGGAAATGTAAGCAGCAGCAACCTCTTGGGCACAAGGCAACTTGGCCTGCAGCCACACCTGCCCAATCGATTTGCAAATTGATTTGAATTCTCTGAGGCAAAAAATACTCAAATGGATCAGGCAGGAGTGAAGCCTGGCGAGCTACTTAGACTTTCCAGACACCCTGGACTAGCTTTTCCACCATGTGGAAAAGCGATGATCGGATCACTGTGGGGCTGTGAGAAGAGATAGGAGGGCGTTTAGTTTGGGGCGTGGACACTGCGTGGCGGGAAGAGAGCTGGCAGAGGCTGTTTCTCTGTGTGGAAGCGTGCACGGCGGGGTGGAGGCAGGGCGGGCGCCATTATTGACATCTTTTCAATGACTGTGGGAGGACCCCATAGTGAACTCCTAACGGAGAAAGATTTTTTTATTGATACTTAATATTTTACATATTTATGGGGTACACGTGATGTTTTGTTACGTGTACCGAGTGTGTAATGATCAAGTCAGGGTATTTGGGGCGTCCCTCACCTGGAGTTTTTATCTTTTCTGTGTGTTGGGAACATTTCGAGTCCGCTCTCAGCTCCTTTGAAATAAACAATGCGTGTTGCTAACTGCCTCACCCTAGTCCGCTGTCAAACAAGAGAACTTACTCCTTCGATCTGACTCTGGGTTTGTGCCCATTAACACACCTTGTGAGAAGGTTCGGGCAGGCGGCGAAGAGACAGCAGAAATGGGCAGGGCAGGATTTAGGGGAAGAGGATACAGCGTAGATTATCGGTGGACACATATGAGGGCTCTGCAGGGGGCGCCTGAGCAGGAAGGCTTCAGGCCTTCCACGCCGTGTCAGCCACGCAAGTAAAGAAAACCTTCCGTGGGTAATAGAAATTAGATTGAAACTCACCAGCGTCTGTGTCCCTAAGTCAGCGTGCTTGTCCGGTGGCTGAAGACGGTGTTGGTGGCAGGAAAGCAGACAGCCCAGTTGTCGGGGCAGCTCGTCAGGACCCAGCAGGTTGGGCCCTAGGCTGGGCAGACCCTGGGTCCTTCAGTCCTGGAGCCTGGCAGTCCCGTCTGTGGGGGGCGAGCGGGGTGCTGCGGCACCCTCTTTCCGGTCTGGAGCACGAGGCGCAGGCTGTGGGCCCGACCTGGAGCACAGGACCTGAGGCTGTGTGGCTGGGATGGGGAGGGCAGGCTGCCCTGGAAGCCCCTTCTTCCAGGGTGCTCACGGGCTTCCTGTGCCTGGAGGGGCATAAAAGCCAGTCTGGCTTGGCCTGTCACACGCTGCCCGTGGTGGGGAAGCTTCACGGTGCAGGGCCAGCGGCTTGGAGTCGGTCTTGCCGAGCTGTGCCCCGCACCCTGTAGCGGGTGCTGAGTCCTCTTCTGGTGCCACATGGTACTGTCAGTGTACTGTCACCACCATCTCAGTGTCATGGTCTTGACTCTTCAGCCCTCCTCTCAGTAAAGAGGAGTTCCTGGCAAATGCACAGGGTCATGGGACAGCTGGACAGGGTTCCGTGGCTTCTGCCTCACGGGCTGGCAGCAGCAGAGAGCCTGGGGCAAAGTGCTGCCCGTGGGGAGTGTTTTCAGCAGGTGCATACAGGGACACATTCGAGGTGGCCCCTCTGTTGGCTCATCGTATAGCTTCTCGGACACGTGTGGCCTAGGAGGCAGGGACAGGTCTCTCCTGAGTCGGTGTCACGGTCTGGTCCAGGGCCCTGGCTCTCTCACCCCTCGAAATAATTTTATTTGGGGGCCTCATCGCACATCCAGCCTGTGGGTCTGGCCTGGGCCACCTGGTCCACCGAAAAGTAGGTCTCTTGACCCTGAAGCTTGGGGATAAAGCCTCTAACTTTCTTGTATAAACTGGTTCGCCCCCTCCCTGGAGCTCTGCACACCCCATGTGGGCCTTAATCACGTGGCCTTGCCTGAGCTATAACCTTCAGTGCCGGTTTGCCACGTGCAGCCACCTCCTGGCTGATGCTCAGGGGGTAAGTGGGGCAGGGGGGCCTGGGGCAGAGTACTGTGCTCAGGGTTTGGACCCAGGTCTGTCTGACTGTAGTTGGAGGACGAGTGTCACCCTGGCTTCCCCAAGGTGAGCGATGAGTCTCTGAAGCCCTTGGCCCAGCCTGCTGGGAGATGAATGGTGGTGGAGGTTGTCCTAATGGTCTGTTGTCCTGCCCTTTTAGGTCCAGGACCTGCAGCTGGCACGGGAGATGGCACTGGCCACCAACCGGAGCCTGGCTGAGCGGAACTTGCAGTTCCAGAGTCCCCTGGAGGTCTCCCGCTCAGTGCTCTCTGACAAATACCAGGAGCTCTGGAAGCTTGTGGAGCGGTGCCAGGAGCAGAAGGCGAAGCTAGGTAGGGTGGCCGGCCCTAGGAGTGTGCTCTTGGGAGGCTCTCTGTTAACTCGGGGTTGGACTGGGCGGGGCAGCTGGAACGGCGAGAAGGGCAGATCTCCTCTCCTTCCCGGCAGGGGAAAGGGCCCACAGCTCCTGAGGCTTGCCGTGTTCTGAGCCCTGTGCTAAGTGCTTTACATACATTTTTTTGCAGCAGCTATAACAGGGTAGCTACTGTTATTATTCCCATTTTATACATGAGAAAAATGAGGTCTAGAGAGATTCAAGAACTTGGCTCAGGTTAACCAGCTGGAAATAGGTGGAGTTGGGATTTGAACTCAGAGAGCCTGCATCCTTTGCTGCTGCTGTTAACTCAGCCAGCTCAGCTTTGTGCTTTACAGAGCCGGTCCGGCTGTCTGTGTCCCAGGACCTGCCACCTGGGGAGGTGGGAGGGGCTTTTCCTCGTGACAGTGAGGGAGCCTGATACTCACACAGCTTAGGTAACTTTCCCCAGGCTCGAGGTCGGGTCAGTTGGACTGTGAAGCCTGGGTCCTTTCCTGTCCCAGGCTGGTGTCGGGGAGGCTGCTTGGCCAGGGTCTGGGGTGGGTTCAGTCAGGCTCTTCTCTGCTTAGAAAGGTGACCCAAGGGAACTGGACTGAAAGCACCCGATGGGCCCGCCCGAAGGGACTCTGCAGTAGACCCCAGGGTGGTGGCGGGACCTTGACGTACACAGAGGGCATGCTCAGCGCCTTTCCTGAAATTTTGGCTTTCAACACTGAATTAGGAAGCACTTTTGAAGTGTCAACCATTCTGCCCTCCCTTCCAGAGAAATTTTCTTCAGCTCTGCAGCCAGGGACCCTGTTAGACCTTCTGCAGATTGAAGGCATGAAGATCGAAGAAGAGTCTGAGGTGAGATGCCAGGTTGACCCGCACTCCTCCTTGGACAGGTGTTGGCCCCTGGAGCAGGAGCCCTTGCCAGGGTCAGCAGATGTCTGCAAAGCATGGGACAAGGGAGCTTTTGTAAATGGCAAAAGTGAAGGACACCTTTAGTCCCAGGGGAGGCCCTTTTGGATGCAAATAGCAGGAACCTAGTCCCGCTAGCTGACGCGGAAATGGGTGATGGCGGGCAAGGCCCCAGGCAGCTTGCAGAGCAGGAGCCCCGAGGGACTGGAGCCAGGCGCCACCCCACCCTCCCCCTGCTTCCTGCTTCCCTCTGGGGTCTGTTCAGTCTCCCAGGTGTGCGCAGCCCCTGGACTAGTGTTCATCCATGTGTGATGACCGTACACGTGCAGTGGCCACTGTGGGCCTGGCACGATGCCAGGGCGGAGGGAAGTGACCATGACAGACATAGCTCTCGCCCTCCAGGAGCTGACATTCCAGCTGGGAGACAGTGCATGTGTAACATGGCAGCAGTGGGAAGGGCGTGAAGAAAAATTCCCAGATGGGGCCAGGGAAGGGCAGGGGGTGCCCGAGGTGGGAGGGCTGCGGTGGAACCCTGACTGGGGAAAGCAGGAGGCCGCAATCTCGGCAGGCCCCTGTCGTCACCGGACTTTATGTCTTTCCAGGCCATGGCTGAGAAGTTCCTGGAAGGTGAGGTGCCCTTGGAAACGTTTCTGGAGAACTTTTCCTCCATGAGGATGCTGTCCCACCTGCGCCGGGTTCGTGTCGAAAAGCTCCAGGAAGTGGTGAGGAAGCCCAGGGCTTCCCAGGAGCTGGCCGGCAATGCCCCTCCACCCCGCCCGCCACCCCCGCCTCGCCCAGCACCCCAGGCAACGCCCCCTGTGGCTGAAGAGCAGCCGCCACCGCCACCGCCACCACCATCAGCCGTGCCTCCCTACCCTTTGCCCTACAGCCCGTCCCCCAGCATGCCCGTGGGCCCCACCGCCCAAGGAGCCCTGCCCCCAGCCCCTTTCCCCGTGGTGTCCCAGCCCTCATTCTACGGTGGACCCCTGGGCCCCACTTACCCGGCAGCCCAGTCAGGACCCAGGGCTGCTGCGGGCTACTCCTGGTCCCCACAGAGGAGCACGCCATCCCGGGCGGGCTATCCCGGGACCCCACCTGGTGCCCCCGGCCCTGGGTACCCCTTGTCGGGAGGCAAGGCCCCCAGTCCTGGTTACCCTCAGCAGTCCCCGTACCTCCCGGCAGGAGGAAAACCTCCCTACCCAATGCAGCCCCAGCTCCCCAGCTTCCCCGGACAGCCCCAGCCCTCAGTGCCCACTCAGCCCCCGTATCCTCCCGGGCCTGCCCCTCCCTATGGGTTTCCACCACCTCCAGGGCCCGCCTGGCCTGGGTATTAGACACGCTCCTGGCCCTCGGCCCCTCCCTCCTCCCACCTGTACTGCAGCCTTTGGCCCACCCGTCACCGAGACTCAAGGGGAAACTAGAAGTGGCGCTGGCACTCCCTGTGGACTTGTGTCGACACACAGGCCTTGGAGGGACCCAGCTGGGAGCATGTAGACCCCCAAAAGGCACTGGGCAGTATGACCAGGTGGACTGAGGCAGATGGTCACAGCACTTGCTGGTCTTCCGGCCAGAGGTCCTCCTGGGCACGCCTCCTTTCCGCGATTGGCTGTAGCATTTCTGGTGCTAGCCAGGCTGGCAGTCCAGTGCCTCTCGCGGCGTCTGTGTGAGTGAGCGTATGCACGTGTCTGTGAGCATCTGCCTGTGGCTGCACTCAAGGCCGTCTGAACCCCGTGCAGAGTTACCTTGGTGATGAGACGGCCCCAGGTTTCTGGCCCTGCTCACCTCCTCCCTCTCCCCTGGGATTTGGCATATTTGACGTGGGGCCCATGCCAAGGGATGCAGCTCTGTGTGTCTGCCTAGCCCTTCAAGGCTGGTCTGCCCCATGCACCATGGCAAGGATCGGATTGGAGGGAGAGAACAGGGTTAGGAAGAACAATGATTTTTGAGCCCTATAAAGCCATAATTTCACTCCAATAGCTGATGTTAGACAAGCTCGTCCTGGGTGCTGTTTGAACGGCAGCAGCGCAGTGCAGGGAGGAGGCTGTGGGTTGTGAAGGCTGACCCCAGACCTTGCTTGTGCTGGTTGGGGAACCCCAGGGGCTCCCTTAGGTTCTCTGGCTGGAGGGAAGGAAGTAGCCCTGGCCCAGGAGATTGCGGTCACATTGGAGTCTTTGAGGAGTAGGGGACTGGGTCACCTCCCCAGCCGCCCTTCTCCCTCCGGCCCTACACTTCAGGTTGACTTTTCCTGAGGTCCACCCGTCTGTCCAGTTCTTTAGTGCCTTGAATCTCGTTCACAGCAGCCCCCTCCTTCTAGCCCCTCCTCTGGCCTCTTTGATGTAGTTCTCCCCTGCCCCCAATACCTCTCCTGGGACAGACATCAAAAGAGGCCCTAACAGTTACTTCCCAAATGGCGCTCTCTGGAACACCGTCACTACGTTGGGGGCGGTTTCTTTGCACCTCTCTCATCTTCAGAATGTAAAGGGTGGGGGTTGTGACTCCGTGTCACGTGCAGCCCCAGCGCATTGTGGGGATTTAGGCATGTTCACTAGTGAGAATGGTAGCAGTAGACCACAAGGGGTGTGATAAGTGAAGCATTAACTTGGTTGTTCTGGATATGAACCAGGTCTCGGGGCAGAGCCTGGAGCTGCTATTGGTGGGGAAGTCGTATGTGCCTTGAAATGTCCACTACCTGAAGACCCAGCGTCTGGTGGGCCGGGGGTGCCGGGGCCCGAGGAGGAACTTGCCCTCCTGGTGCCTGCCCCCTCCCCGGCCTGCGTGCCATCAGTGGGGGGTGTGTGATGCTAGGTTAGCGTGGCCGGTTCCTTACCAATTGTGCTTGCTTCTCCTAAGTTATTTATAAAGAGAAATCACTAATGGACTCTGCTGGTTCCAGTGCTTCTGAACTGGATGAACGATCGCCCATATGTTTGTATGATTAATTGCCATAATAAACGTTGATGAGTTACGTGTGGCGCTGTGGCTCTGCCAGGTTTGAAAAGTGAAGATGTGGCTGCGTGCGGGGGCCTTGGTTTCTTCCGAGGCCGTCCGAACCGTGCTTCTGAGATCTGTGTCCACAAAGCACCATCTGTCTGGATGTCATCCTCCCCTGCTCCTTTGCCCCAGGCCCTGGGTCTTACTCTGTTTCCCTTTCTTCTCCTGCTCTTTGGTTTTCTTTTCTTTTTTCTTTTTTTTTTGGATAGAGTCCAGTGGCGTCATCAAAACCCATGGCAATCTCAAACTCCTGGTCTCCAGCGATCCTCCTGCCTCAGCCTCCTGAGTAGCTGGGACTATAAGCACACACCACCATGCCTGGCTAACTTTTTCTACTTTTTTTTGGTGGAGACAGGTCTCGCTCGCTCTTGCTCAGGCTGGTCTTGGACTCCTGGCCTCAAGCAATCCTCCCACCTTGGCTTCCCAGAGTGCTAGTATTACAGGCCTGAGCCACCGCTGCAATGGGCCTGGTTTTCCTTAGCCATTTTCTCGCTGGAGCCTGCACGGTTGCGGCACGCAAGGCCACAGGGTCCCACAAGGGGGCGTCCGGTCCTCAGCCAGCTTGGAAGGCGCCTGTATTCCCGCCGTCCGCTGGCTGGCAGGATGTCTGATTGTAAGCCTGGCCACGACCCGTCCATCTTCTAACCTGGGATTTCGGGGCGCGGTCAGAGGGGCTGCAGGCCATAAACTGGGTGTGGCACCAGCGGGTCCTCTGCCTCGGCCCAGCCTGCCTCCCTCCCTGGTGTTGCCCTGAGCTCTGCTGCTGAGCTGGTTCTCCTGAGGCCGGGAGGACATCTTCAGTTTCAGCAGGAATGGCAGCTTCAAGCAAGTCGGGAGACTGGGCTTTGAACAGTCCCTCTACCTTTCCTTCCCTGCACGGTGACAAGGGCAGCCACCCATGCATGATGCCCAGAAATGCCCAGAATCGTTAATATTGCACACTCAGCAGGGCCGCAGATTGCGTTGTGCTTGCTGTGAGCATTGTCTCCTTGAGTCCTCACAGCCCTTCATTCTCAATCTAAATGGGGAGGAAACCTTAGGGTGGGTGCTTCAGTGACCAGGGTGCACAGCCTGGGGGCGCAGAGCTGAGACTTGGACCTGCCCAGAGGTTGCAGTGGGGGTTGAGGGGGCTCCTCTGCCCTGCCTCTGTGGTGCCAGAAGTCTGTCCCCGGGACACAGCTGAGAGTTGCCAGGCTTTGGTCAAATGTTGACTGCCCTTTGCCCCTGGCTGAATGCCGGCCTGGCCTTGCAAACGTCCAGAGCTCAGGAAATAGGACACAGGACACCAGGGAGAGCTGGAAGCAACTTGGCTTTGTAGGAAGAAGCTGCAAATCCCACTCTGGGTGCATAGTCAAGGCACTTGCCTTGGGTTGGTGCCAGAGTGGCGCTGGGGACGTGGAGGAGCTGCCTCTCTAGGAAAGGCAACTGTCCTGAGTTGCCTCAGTGGGTCGCTCAGTGCGTCCTGCCCTGCTGCTGTTTGCTCTCCTTTCTCCGGGCCGCCACGCCTGAGATCACAGCACACACCTCCCTCCCTGCAACCCCAGGACTTCGCTGGGTGGGCTTCACCAGACCGCAGCGTGCCTCTTGATGCAGAGCTGGCTGCACGGGACAGACCCTAAGTGTCAAGTTCAGAATCTCAGATTCCTAGCTTAGTGAGGATGCTTTGCTGTACTGGCTGCGGTGAGGCCATTTGAAATGTCCTTCCAGCTGCTGTGTTGGTTTCATCCCGTACTCCCAGATCCCTGGGTGCATGGCAACTCTGAAGCTAGACTTGTTGCTTGATAGTCTAAGTGAGCTTTCCTCTGGGCCCTCAGTTGCCTTGACTTGATGTGCTGGAATCAGGGGTTCACACTCAGCTGCCTCCAGGGACTGGCCGGGTCACATAATTTACCCGGAACATGACTGACTCTAGGGAAGCGGGCAGGGTGTGGGGGACACACAGGTGAACGGGAGGGGGCCCTGCTCCTCTCTGCAGGTGGCTGGGGTGCAGGAATCGCAGCAGGGCACCCTCTACACTGGAGGGGCAGTGGGCTGGTCTACCACCTCCTGTATGGTGGCCAAACTGTAGATGAAAGAGCTTTCGTCAGGAAAGGCACTGGTAGGAGATGCTTGGTGCCTCACCTCCTTTGCCCCTTCTAAGAGCAGCCTCTCTGTCCCCTTTTGGGGAATCTCCTCACTCCACCAGGTAAGGGATGGTAAATGGCGTCACTGTTTCCGGTGTGGTCGGGGCAGATCCGTGACCACATGGGCTCTCAGAATGGAAGGCGTGGTTGGGAGTGCTGGGGGCAGAGTGCCACCAGACTCTGGCATGCAGGTGTCCCCTTAAGTCCCCACCTCCCATATCTGTCTAGTAACTCCCTTTTGCTCTTCCAGAATTGGCGTCTGTGGCTTGGCCCGTTGTCATGTGCACTTCCGTAGATACAGCGAGAAGGCCCCGCAGTCACCACGCTGCTTCGTCCTGGGGCTGCCTGGTGCCCGAAGCCTTAGTGGTCCTGGCACAGCCCCTCCTCCTGTGCCTCTCCCGAGCTTCCTAGTGTCCACCTAAAAAGACGCTGAGGCAAAACTGGCAGAGTAGAGAGCTTGGGCCAAGCTTGAGGACTGCAACCCAGAAGTATAAATTCAGTTTTTAAAGGAAAAGAAGAGGCAGTTCCTAAACTGTTTGCCAAGAATTTGTGTTAAAATGACATAAGCCGTTGATTGGATCTACTTTGTATCACAAATTCCAGGAACTCGAAGATAGTGGGTGAGGCAGCCAGTCAGGAAGAAAATGCCTTTACACCATTGCACCCGGGTGTGTGTGTGTGTGTGTGTGTGTGTGTGTGTGTGTCTCTCTCTCTCTCTCTCTCTCTCTCTCTCTCTCTCTCTCTCTCTCTCCCTCTCTCCCTGATAAATTTTGCATACCTCAGACTGCTCTGGGCTATTTTTCTTTTCTCACTAGTTAGATGCCCTCCTCTCACTTGTAGGATTACTAGGTGCCCCCTCCTCGCAGGGCCTTGGGGCGGCACCCGTGCTCCGTGAGTTTGAAAGCCAGCGGGCCCTGCTCCGGCGTGGAAGCATCTGTGGGTGAGGGGTGCGGGGCAGTCGCGGGGTGGACGGCGTGGGGTGAGGCTGCGGGTGGGGCGCAGGTGTGAACCTGGTGCAACCACACGGCCCCTGGCTGGCAGATGCCCTCATTGTCCTCGGGGGCGCAGCCCCGGACCTTGCCAGCTGCAGAGCTCCCCCGGCAGGTTTCCCTGGGGATCCACAGGGGTAGACCATGGACAGAAGAGACCGGAACGCTCTCAGGAAGTACAAAAAGCGTTATTTACAGAGAACATATTAAAAATGCGTGAGCCCAGCTGTGAGCTTCCTTGTCATTTCTTATCAGGGTCGGAGTCGAGGAGGGAGCTGGGTTCTGCCCGAGTGCTGCTACCCCACACACAGGGCGAGGAAAGGGACCCCCTTCTGGACCCCTGAGTCTCTATGTGGAAAGCTGCTTGTTTCTGGGTCTGCCCGCCCCAGCTTCCTCACTTGGAGTAGCCGGCCGAGCTGTCGGTCGTGGTGGTCCCCGCGGGGGCCCAGTGCGGTGTAGGAGCCAGCCCGCCCCTGCAGGGCAGCAGCACCTGTTGGAAAGGCACCCTGGCCTCTGTCCACGTTCTGTCTGGGTGTAGAAATCGGGGTGTCATTTCCAAGTGGTGAATGCAGAGTTTTCTCAGGACGAATAGGTCTGGCTCTTGGTTTTTGTTCCCAGCTCCCAGTTCTGTGGGGTGAGAAGGAAACGTGTCAGAGGAAGACACCCGGAGGTTATTCGGGGAGATGGGGACAGGCCCCACACCCTGGGCTGCATCTCAGGGCCAGTGGCTGTCCTGCGTCAGGGGCTTCTCCATGCTGGTAGGCTGGCGTCGCTGTGGGCTGTTACTCCATCATAGAGCTCTCAGGGGCTCTGTCCGCGTGGTCTTCCGAATGGAGTCCACAGATGATTTTTGAGGTCCACAATTCCTCTGCTTTAATTGCCAAATCAACTCCCATCACCCAAATTGCTCAGGGTCCCCTATTCATGTAAGGGCGGGGTAGGGACGAAGCAAGGCGCCCAGTGGCTGGTGCTTATACCCCTGGAGCCACGCGTCAGGCTGGAGACAGGCTCGCCCTTCACAGCCTCTGAGCCCCGTGCAGATCGTAGTCGCTGTCGGAGGAGTTGTCGGGCTGGGCGGAGGAGCCACGCAGGGCCCCTGGGGAAAGAAAGGAGGCCGTTTGCAGAGGGCTTGCAGGGGTTGTCCCGCCAGGCTACACAGAGCCACCGCCCACAGTGGGTCGGAAGATCAGAGGGGCTCTAAGAGCCAGTGACAGCCTGCTATCTGTTTTGATCAAATCAGCCAAACGTCCACTAATGATGCTGAACTCTGGGCTCCCTGGGGCCCAGGCCCTTGCAGCCCACTTAATGGCTCTCTTCTGGCTCGGGGGGATCCGAGGGGCCTCATTTACCAGGCTTCTCGGGGCCCTGCAGGGAAGCAGGCCCATCAGGTCACAGCAAGGCTGGGGTTAATGGCGTCTGAGTGCATTCTTCTCTCCAGAGGAGCGCACAGCTGGGGCCTCTGACAGCTGTATATCCCTCCCGCCCCTGCTGTGACCTGCTGTCTAGCAGGCAGTTTGATCCCCTGTGCCCTGGGGCCTCCCTTCTCTCTTAGGGCCATCACATGACCTTCATGGCATCACATGACGTGTCTCGGCCGAGCTGCTCCAGCTCTGCCTGCCTGCCTGCCTGGGAGCTCCCGCTGGCGCTTACCTGGATAAGCGGACACGTAGGAGTTCCTGGGAGGCTGGCTGTATTCGTTATCCACGTGGGAGGCTGTGGGGTTCTCAACCTGGGACCGGACGGTGGCCGTGTGGTTGTGGTGGAAAGACACTAAGCGGAGGCAGGAGACAGCGTCATTAGACTTGCTGCTCCGTCCTCTTCCTCCTTCCCCAGCAGGTGCCCAGAACTTTAGAACTTTAATTTCCTGTTCCCATTATGTCACCGGGGCAAGGGCGAAGGCACCCAGAGCCCCTTCAACACATCCCCCTCTCCCTTCTCCCTGGGGAGGTTCACGCTGGCAGCGCCAGCGGCGGACTGGCAGAGCAGCCTTGGGCAGGCCGGCGATCCGATGGGCGGGGCGGGGCCCTCCATCGGCCAGTGGTTCATGAGGCATTTACCAAGCAGGAGACTGGAGCAGAGTGACAGGGCAGATAGGCCCCTGCCCTTCAGGAGCCGAGGGCCATTAGATTACAAAAAAGATTGAACAACACAGAGCTTTTTTTTTTGAGACAGGGTCTGGCTCTGTTGCCTGGGCTGGAGTGCAGTGGTGTTGTCGTAGCTCACTGCAGCCTCAAACTCCTGGGCTCAGGCAATTGCCAGGCTAAATTTTAAGTTTTTGCAGAGATGGAGTCTTGCTATGTTGCTCAGGCTGGTCTCAAATTCCTGGGCTCAAGTGATCCTCCTTCCTGGGCCTCCCTGAGCCACTGCTTGAACTTGTGAAGGGGGAAGAATGTGGAATGTGTGGCAGGAGGTGGGATATGGCTCTGGTCATTAGGGGTGGCTCGGGCAGTGGCCCGGAGAGAGGACGAAGACCAGGGGTGGGGTGGGGTTGGCTGCACCAGAATGTTCTAAAGCTGTCCCTGAGTTGTTCCATGGTAAAGCTAGCTTGGCAACCTCTCTTAACGTATCCCTGCGTTGCAGATGAATGTAATCCTTGCAAAAAGGCCCGTTGAGGTTCTGATAAGTCCTGAAATAATGAGCCGTGTTTAGCTTTGCTTAACTCATGGTTTTCCAGATCTGTTTGATCATGGAGTTCTCTTTCGTAAGTGTGACCTTTTGACAGCCATTGGCCACTGCGTTGGGGAATGTGCTGGTGGAGGTGCCCCAGAGATGAGGCAAGAGACAGAGGGGACACATGGTCTCTGAGGCTTCCGTGGTAGAAACCACTTAGCCATCTGCCCCATCAAGAAGCCTCAGCTTTCCCCAGTGTGAGGACATCTCTTTGCCACAGTCACACCTTAGACGAGCACCGTGGAGATCACAGGCCTCAAGTAGCCACGGGCTTTGTCTGTGGTCAGCAGAGAACCCTGTGTCTGCCTCTGTGGCCTCTCTCCTGCCAAGGGAGGCTCCTGCCTCGGGGACACTTACTGTTCTGGTTCATTCCCGTTGGGCCAATCCACTGGCGTTGCTTCTTCTGGCGGACTGGGCAACAGACAGGAAAGACTCATCAGGGCAGGTGGGGCAGGTGGGGCAGGTGGGGCAGGTCGGGGAGGTGGGGGCGGGGCTGGGCCCGGGAGGGAGGGAGGAGGTGTGGGTGCTGCTGAGGGCCGGGCTGCTGTGTCCTCGGGGCCTGGCGTTTCTCGGGGCCTCAGTTTCCTAACTTGCCCAGGAGGGGAACCGAGCTGAGGAGGGTGCAGAGGCGGCTGGTTCCCCTGGGGAATCAACCACAGGTGTTTAGAGCCTGAGGTGGGCAGGCGCTGGGGACGCAACCCCTGACACAGCCTCTCTGTCTCACTTCCTTGTCTCTGAATAATTTTCTCCTGAGTTCTGCAAGGCAGGGACAACCGCTGCCTTCACAAGGTGCACAACTGCGAGTTTGGTAGATGAGGAAACAGGCTCAGAGAGAGGAAGTGGCCCAGTCAGCATCACGGGCAGCTGGCAAGCGGCGGTGCTGGGCCTGGGACGCGTCCGCTGCCGTCAGAGGCCCCGCTGATGACACCGTGGGCTGCCGCAGGCTAGGGAATGGCCACAGCCTCTCTGGCCTGGAGTAAGTCTCACTGGGCCCCAGACACAGGTAAATCAGTAATTATGATTTTCCTTTCTGTTACTTTGGGTAGGAAAAGGCCAGTGGGGAGGATGGGGTCTGGGGGGTGCAGCAGAGGTGCCCTCAGCCCAGTGCTCTCGAGTTGGGACCCCTCCTCCCAGGGTTCCTGCGCAGCCCCTATCCCCACACGTGGGCACAGAGCCGCGAGGGGCACCAGCACCTACATTTCTTCACCAGCTTCTTGTAGGCCAGGGGGCCAAACACCACCAGCAGCACCGCCAGGAGCAGCAGGGCCAGGATGACACTGGCCACGGTGCCGGCCGCTGGGCCCCTCGGGTTTGGATCTTGGCCTGGGGGAGGGGAGGAACGGGTCAGTTCCAGCCCTGGGGGATGGAAACTGCCCACCCCAGGGCAGCTGCTGGCTGCCGGCTGCTCCCAGCCACCCTTGCTCCTCCTGGGAGTTCCCCAAGCCTGTGTGGAAGGCAGTTACCTATCTGGCTGCCCCTCCGTTGCTAGAAGTCTCTGCTACCCATTCATCCATCCACCATTTATCATCTAACAATTGATCCTCCAGCTGTCATTTGCCACCCTCGTTATAAACTAACTCTCTACCATTTGCTGTCATGTGCCATCAATACCAATATACGATCGCATACCAGTGGCCAGGCGGCCCTCTGTTTATCCATCCATGCACCCATGCGTTCAGTTACCTACCATTCATGTAGCAAATACATACTGTCTACCCTTGATTTTTTACCTTCCATCCTGGAGCGTGGAAGGGAGAAGGAGGAGCTCTGCCGCCCGCCAGCTGCCCTGCCTGTTGCTGTGCCCTCTCCTTACCGGTTCACGTTCACTGCTGTCTGTCTCTTGCTCCTGGTTCCCCGTGTTCCCTCTCTCCCTCCTTCTCTAGGGCTCTGGGGCTCTCTGTCTAGCTCCTGGGGCCATCCTTGAGAGACATGCACCCTGACCGGTCCTAGAGGGAAAGTTCGGAACTGCCCTCCACCCACCGTGGGCCGGGGCCAACTCACATGCAACAAACACCCTCTTGCAGTAGGATTTTTTCTCCCAAAGCTCGTGGCACTGGGACAGCTTCTCCTGGGAACAGGAAACCCCCCGGGAGGTCTTCTTGACGGTGTCCAGCACGTGATAGGAGTTGACATTGCCGCACTGCTGCTCCTGGCACACCTCCTCCCACCGCGCCATGTCCTTGGCCAGGTTGCTGTCGCACAGGGCTGCCCACTGCGTGCCCTGGCGCACCTCCACGCTGCCTTCACACACGCTGCTGCCCCCGACCAGGCGGCTCTGCACCTTGGGCTGGAAATCTGGGGGGGAAGCAATGGGAGGCAAGAGAGCAGGTATGGCCCTGAGCCTGAGTGCTGGTCCCTGGGGCCCCATGCCCCCGGCGAAGGAGGGCCCCAGCAGGGCGGAGACACTGCGTGGACCCACCAGGACAGACCACCTTCCTCTCTGTCCTTCCCTCCTTCTAGCATCATCTCTGCCTCTTCCCCTGACCAAGCTCTGCCCCTGGTGCTTCTGGGCAGCTGCTGGCACCATCCTGACACACAGCCGCACGGGCACTTTCTGTAAAGGGGCTGGCAATGTGACAATGCCTGTTGGCAGCCACCAGCAGGGAGCTGGCCCCGTGCCAGGTGGGGCAAGAGAAGAGCGTGGCAAGTGGGCTCCACCTGGGCCCGCTTCCCTCTTAGCACCGTCCACTCATTCTCCTTCCGCACCTTGGCAAGAAGGAGGGCTTTTCAGAAGAGGGAAACTGAGGCCCAGGGAAGGGAAAGACCTCCTGCTCTGAGTCCTGGTGGTTCACAGCGGGACAGAACCGGGGAAGCCTGCTGCCCCGGCCGTGCACCCTGAGGGCCAGGCTTCCAGCACACGGGGCCTGGCCCACCAGAGACTCACGTTCGTTTCTGCTTGCCGGGAGCTGGGAGTCCAGAGCTGAGGCCCACGCAGGCTCAGTTTAGAGCGAGCTGTGATCTCACCAGCTTTGGCCAGTTTCCATAGCAACACCTACCTTCAAAGCCCTAGTGAATCTATTTAGAAGCAGCTTCAAAGGCAAGAACCCTGGGTATGGTTTTGCCTGTGTAGCCTGCAGGAGGGATCCTAGCTGAGGGCGAGCGGGGCTGAGAGCCGCCCCCTGCTCCCCTCATGGGGCCAGGAGATCCTCTGGGGCTGCCTGTGCCTGGAGGGGGCGGTGGTTTACTAATTCACACCATGTATCCAGTGGTTTGGGGCGGCCCTGCTTGCAGGATCCAAGAGACCCAGAGCAGTGCCGCCTGGATCTGTGCACATGAGTCACCGGGGACCTTGCTGAAATGTGGATTCTGATTCGGAAAGTCTGGGGCGGGGCCTGAGAGGCTGCACTTCTGACCAGCTCCCAGGTGCCGCTGCGGGTCCAGCACTACGCTGTGCATAGCTAAGGCTCAGACGACGGGCTCCGGAGCGACACTGCTTGAGCAGAAATCCCAGCTAGTGCTCCAGGCTACTTGGGCAAGATGTTTGACCTCTCTGAGCCTCAGCTTCATCATCTGCAAAAAGGAGTAACAATAACACCCACCTCCTAAGGTTGCTGTGAAAATGCATTAATAAAAATGCCCTGGAATGGTCCGTGACACCAAGCAAGCTCCCGGGAAGTACAGTCTGGCCTCCCCCGGAACACTCCCGGGACGGGACCCGCTGCCTCCGGAGCCGGGCCCTGACTGGCCTTCCTTGTTTTGAACTGTGGTCACTTCCCTTTAATTGCCCCCATCGATCCTGCTTTGGCCCCTTGGGGTCTCACAGACTCAGTCTCAGCTGCCTCCTCCCCTCGGTCACACCATCACCATTCTCACCTGTCGCCGTGGCTCTGGGCCCTCTGCAGAGAGCCCCCCTGGGCTCCGACCCCCAGGCCTCGGGGACCTCCCACCTCTCATCATCACTGCAACCTCGGCTCTCAGGATCTACAAACCCCCCTCCTGCGAGGCCCGCCGCTCCAAGTGCTCCATCTTTGGCACAAGCCACAATTCCCGCCTACAAACCTTTTTCTCTTTTCCTCCCCAAACCCATGAGGAGACCTTGCCTTCTGCTGGAGTCCTGCTGCCTCTGCTTCCCCGTGTGGCAGCCGAGCCAGCGGTTCCTTTGGCTTTGGTTGGTGTTGCTTTGTGGAGACTCCCAGGGCACTGAGTGCGTGTGTCCTCCCTCCGCCACCCTGTCCCACCTCTTAGAGGCCAAGGATCAGGCCTCAACCTCCCTCGTGTTCTCCCTGCGCTGCACGCAGCAGTTTTCAGGGAATGTGTGTTCCCTGGCCTCGTGGGGATGCGCTGGCTGTGACCACTCCCGCAGCAGCAGGAGGTGCCGGGGGGGTTGGCCAGGCCTCACTCACCTGAGCAGACGATCGCAAGAGCTTGGCCACCCTCCTGGGGCTGGACTTTCCTGAAGCACTGTTCCAGGGAGGCACAGCTCGAGTTCTGGATCTTCCACCGGATCGGCAAGGGCCTGTGTTCCCAGAGCTCTCCTAGGTCAGGTGCTCTGGTCGCCTCGGCCTCTGGCAGATGCTTCAAAAAGGACCCGCACTGGAGGGCTGGGCACAGGAGGCTTCCCAGGCTCTGGATGCTGTCCTGGGCCTCATAGCCGATGGTGCCACCCAGGCTGCCGCTGTAGAACTCCACCACGCCGGCACAGTGCAGGCCCCGGGGCCCTGCCACCAGCCGCAGCCTGGGAGGAGCTGGGAGAGGAGAGGGCAGGGCTGGGCGCCAGCCTGAGTGCCGGGGCCTTGTGCAGCAAGCTCGCGGCACTCTCTGTTGTCTGGCCCCAACCCACAGACAAATGCTGACTGACGGTTGGCCTAGGCGGGTGGTAAGGTCCCAGATATTGCATATGACACACTTATACTAGAAATTTCCACATTTAGCTGAAATTCAAATGTAACCAGGCATCCTGGGTTTTCATTTGCTAACTCTGAGCCCACGAAGGTCAGAGCTCTCTTACCTGTGGGCTCGGGTGTTGTTACGGGCGGGGGGCTCGTGGGTGGAGGTGTGGTCGTCTGGGGCTCTGCAATGACACGATGAAGGTGACTCTGGGAGAGGCAATGGTGGGAGGACGGAGGAAGGGGATGCGGCGGGGCGGGGTGTGGAGGGTGCTGGGAGCAGCCGGCTGCACTGGGACAGACCAGGTGCTCGCGACATAAGTACCACTTGCCACTTTAAGTCCAGTTGATCCACACATTGTCTCTAAGCCTCCTGTGAGGGGGGCAGTACCACCCCACTTTACAGATGGGACAATGCAGTTTCAGAGAGGGGACGCTGAAGTTAGCAACTGGCAGAACCAGGTCCTCCTTTTCCATCCTACCAGACAGGTGCCGGCCCCTGCCGGCCCCCGACCAGTGTATGTGTCTTGGGGGCTGGTTGTAACCTGGGGACCCTTCAGCACTTCCACCAGCCTGCTCAGGCCGCAGATGCAGGCTCTGGGCCGGCTCCTTGGGGCTGGTGCCCAGGCCAGGGGAGCCGTGTGGCTGGCTGGTTACCCACCTAAGCAGATGAGGCTCAGAGGGTGGCACTGGTCTGCGAAGCTGCAGTTGGAGAAGGACCCCAAGCGTCCATGGCAGATGATCTGGTTCTGGGGTCTGCTGAAGTGAGGCAAGGGGCCCAGGTTCAAGGCCTCCCCACAGCGCAGCTTCCGGCAGACTTTCGAGGCCTGGCTGGCGTCCTCCCAGCGGTCTGGTGTCCGGCCCCAGCTCTGGCTGCAAACCGTGCACCACAGGCCCCTGAACTTGACTTCCAGCAGGCCCTGGCACCGTGAGTTGGAGCCGGTTAGCCTCTCCTGGAAAACTGAGGGTCAGAGAGGGGGGTCAGGCTGGGAAGGGCTGTCCACGGCGGACCCCCACGGACCAGCGAGGCCCCCTCCTGCGTCCTGGCTGCCTTGTGAGCTCCGTCTCCTCTGGCCCTACAGGCACTTTCCAGAGCCCAGGCTGGGGTGGTCCTGACCCACGCGGTCCTTAGGGGGACCCAGGAGGGTGGGGCTCCAGGTGTCAGAGCCGGAGGGAACTTGGAAGAGGGGACAAGGTGTTTTCAGCACCTACCATCCAGCAGAATTGCCCGCTCCCGGGAATTCTGTCTCAGTAGGTCTGGGATAGGGCCTGACGTCTTTTTTTTAACTTCTAAAATCAATTTTATTGAGGTACAATTTCCATACAGTGCAATGTACTCATATTCACGGTACCCGTTCAATGGAATTTGACAAATCCTCATAACCACCACTATAATCTAGCTATGGACGTTTCCACCACCTATTTAATAGAAAGTTCTCTTCTGCCCCCTTTATAGTTAATTTCCCTGAATGCTGCCTCAGGCAACCACTGATCTGCTTTCTGTCACTAGAGATTAGTTTTTCCTATTCTACAATGTCATATGAATGGAACCATATGGAATCATATAGCATGTTATTTTTTTTTTTTTCGGTTTGACTTCTTTCACTCAGCATGTATTGGAGATTTAGCCATGTTGCTGCATGTATAAGCGATTCATTCTTTTTTGCTGCTGGATATTTTGTTGTATGGATATGCCCTGATTGTTTTCCATTCACCATTTGGTTTGTTTTCAGGTTTTTTGACTGCTATAAATAAAGCTGCCATGAACATTCATGCGCAGTTCTCTGTGTGGGCTCACGTTTCCACTGCTGTTGGGTAAATACCCAGGAGTGGAATCGCTGGGTCATAGGTAGGTATGTGGCTTGTGTGATTTTATAAAGCTCCACGAGGGGAAAATATACGTACATACGTGTGTGCACGTATTTGCATAAAGAGCTTTTGGAAGAATACACAGGGAAAAAATAAAAGTGGTCATTACCTGGGGTGTTGGGGTGGTGGGGGACAGATGGGGGCCAAGATGGAAGTGAGACTCTTCACTATAGATCTTTTTACATTTTTGAATTTTTGAGCCAGATGAATGTGCCACTTATTCGAGAATTTTTAAAAAATGTAAATGGCTCTTCCAGGCAATTCTGCGGTGGAGGTTTCCCTGATTGGAAACCACTGGTCAGGCTGCCTTTTTGTTTAGATGAGGACGCTCTGGGGCCAAAGCGCAGGGCCAGGGCTTGCCAAGGTCACTTGGCCAGTAGAGGCAAAGCGGGCTCGTCTCAGCACCTAACTTTGGCGGAACACTTCTCAGGCTTCCTGCCCAGCGAGTTGACGCATTACAGCTTCACCAGGAAGAGATTTTTTCCCATTTCGCAGGTGGGAAAATTGGGGCGCAGGAAAGTCAAGCAACTTGCTAGATCTTGGAGCTAGGACATCAGTGCAGGATCCAGGTCCCAGCTCAAGGCCTGCCAAGGGCCTCGCGGCCCCCTCTGGCTGCACCATGGCTTTGTGAGACCCTTCAGCCACATTTTGCCACAGACACATTTAGCATGTTGCCATCCCAGTCAATGCGAAAAAGAGAGGTCTGTGGTGAAATGAGTGTGGGAACTGCTGAGTTAAAAATGGCTTAACATGTTTCTTTGCTGCAGGACTTCTCAGAACCTTTACTAGGCCAGTGTACAATGTCAGCCCCCAGTGGGAGATGAGGTGTTGCCTGCCCTTTATCCAACACGTTCCATGGAAACACTGGCCTCTAAAGCTGGACATTCAACACACTACAATCTGGCCCAGCTCCTGTCTGCAGCCTCGGCTGCAAATGGCTTTGTCTATGGAGTCAAACACAGAACTGGAGAGGAAACAGGGCTTTGCAAGATGCATTTATGTGCTGATATGTTTTCTGTGCATAGTGGTTGGGTTGTGATCATGAGAACCAGCATTTGCATGGTGCTTTGTGGCCAGGGAGGACATACACCCACATGTGGGCATCTCAAATGTGCACATGTCTGTGTCTGTGTGTGTGGTGGGCTTCACTCTGGTGGAGGTGATGGCTTCTTTTTTTTTTTTTTTTTTTTGAGACAGAGTCTCACTGTGTTGCCCGGGCTAGAGTGCCGTGGCGTCATCCTAGCTCACAGCAACCTCAAACTCCTGGGCTCAAGCGATCCTCCTGCCTCAGCCTCCCAGGTAGCTGGGACTACAGGCATGCGCCACCATGCCCGGCTAATTTTTTCTATATAGTTTTAGTTGTCCGATTAATTTCTTTCTGTTTTTAGTAGAGACGGGGTCTCGCTCTTGCTCAGGCTGGTCTCGAACTCCTGAGCTCAAACGATCCGCTCGCCTCGGCCTCCCAGAGTGCTGGGATTACAGGCGTGAGCCACCGCGCCCGGCCGGTGATGGCTTCTTAATCAGAAAGTCCCCTTATGGCCTGATGGAACTGTAGCCCCACTCTCCCCCTGCCCCAGGCCTCCCTCCATGTGGCTCTTCCTTACCTGGGTCATCCCAGCTGGGCCCTCCGAGGCAGGAAGTGACTGCGGAAAGGAGAGACAAAGGTCAGGAAGTGAAGCCTCCCACCCTCTCCCTTCTCCCCGGCTCACACCCGCAGCTTGAGCAATGGCCCTTTCTGCCTCTCCCACCCCACTGTCATGGGGTTCAGGGCCAGGGATTTCCATGCTATAGCTTGGAATCCCTAAGTGATCATGAATTCAATTTACTGGGTTGCAACCAGCAATTTTTTTTCTTTTTAAAAAACTTTACTTTTTAAATGAACGCGCAGTGAAATCGGTTTTTGTTTAGTGCACAATTCTACGCATGTTAACAGGTGTATACATGTGTGTGACCATCATCACCATCTGGGTGACACGAGTTCCGTCACCCACCCCCAGATTTCCTCGTGCTGTCCCTTTGGTATGCCTTCGTAGTAACGCAACCACCAATTTGTTAACAAACGAAATGGACTAGAATAGAGAATGTCAGACGGCACCGTGCATTGCGAGGATAAGGACCGCTTTTCGTGCACTGCAATGTAAAAACGTCCTTCACTCAAAGAAGTTTGAACTCCATAGTTCTAGAGAACTGAAAAATAAGCCAGAAAGGGAACCGAAGATGACATTTGCTACTTTCTGGTACCAGCTCCTAGTTTCTGGAGAAGACCACAGCTCAAAGAGGTGGAGGGACCTGCCCACGGCAGCAAGCTCACGTGGCCTGAGCCCACCCTTTGTGCCCACCACCAGCTTCAGTGGTTATGGCGCAGGTGCGGTATTTTGGTTTCCCTCTGTCTGACTCCTGGGCTTACTGCTCAGTGGGGAACTGGGAACAGTACTGGGCCAGGGAGACTACTTTATATGGTGAAAAGCTGTTAAAATTGCCTGTGAGATATCGTTGCTGGGTGTTAAAAAATAGGTGTGTTTAGCCGCGCACGGTGATGCGCATCTGTAGTCCCAGCTACTCAGAAGGCTAAGGCAGTGGGATCGCTTCAGCCCAGCAGTTCAAATCCAGCCTGGACAACATAGTGAGACCCTATCTCTTAAAAAAAAAAACAGGCATGTTTTTAAAAGGCTGTTCTTGCCTGAGTGTTCTCACGCTAGTGGTAGGATTTTATGGGTGTGATGTGCCCCTACCAGCCCATCCTCCTCCCACCCCCAGCAAGACTCCTCGTAATGAAGTCACTGTGGCTCTGTGATAAGTTTCCCCCATCTTTCCAAGATCCCATCACGGTCGCTCTAGCAGTCATGGGCCTCGGAAGGGGAAGATTATTCTCACAGACAGGGAGTGTCAGGCCAGGGGCAGAGGCTGGAGCTCTGGCCTGGGTGGAAAAGGACGGTCCAGGTGTTAATCATCTGATCTACTTACTGCAGCCTCAGCAGGACATGGGGCAGACGCCCAGCCAGCATGGAGAGAGAGGAAGCAGGAGGTCCTTTGCCCTGTCCTCGCCTCTCACCCTTGACCTCCTATTCCCACTTCCCTCTGGTCCCAGCTCCCCATGGAGACCAGGGCAGTCTACCTTTAGGGAGTCATTCCTTTGGCTAGGTCACGAGGGCTGAGGCAGCATGGAGTGGCGCCGATGGGGAGAGGGAACCTGAAGATCTACCCTGCGGGGCTGTACGGCACAGGACCGGCCGTTGTCACTGGTAACTTTCTACCCCTCTGGGTCTAAGTGTCGGCTTTGCCACTTCCTGCCTGTGGGGCCCAGGGAGAGCGTCTTCCGGCTCCCCTGAGCCCCGTTTTCCTCATTCATAGCAGGGGGGTGAGACTAGGAGCAGCTTTCTAGTGATGTGAGGATGCGAACTAATTTATGTAAAGCCCAGCGCCTTCCTGGCCCGCATTCGGTGCTCAGAGCTAGAGTTGCTGCTCTGTGGCGTGGGCTGGGCCTGGGGCAGGCGTGGCCGGGACCACGGGTCCTCGGGAGCCTTTCCCAGTGGGAGCATTCCCAGTCCGGAAGAGCAGAGAGCCAGGCCACGGGGCTCACCACTTCCCTTTCCCACAGATAGTCCCCAACTTATGATAGCTCAACCTAGGATTTTCCGACTCTATAATGGGGTTATTGGGTATTAAATGAATTTTTGACTGATGGTATTTTCAGCTTCCTATAGGTTTATTGGGCAGTAACCCCACTGTCAGTTGAGGAGCATCTGTATTCCCCAAGTCATCACAGTCAGCCTTCATTATTGACAGTAGCTACCAATTATTGAGCACCCACTGTATACTTAGCACTCGAGATGGTTCATCACTGATAATATTGTTAATCTTCCACACGGCCTCCCAACGCGAGTTGAGTATGTTCATGGGATAAATGTCGGGAGAGGGCAAGTGTCCTGTCCAGGGTGATACGACTCGCAAGTGGCGGGACCTGGATTCAAACCGCGTGACTTCAAAACCCATACTCTCTGCTCTCGGCCACCCAGTCGCTCCTCCAAAGTGCCAAGTTTGGAGACACAGAGATGAACACGACCCAGACCCCTTAGGGACAGGGACTGGGCCTGACCATCCTTGCAGGTCTGACACGGAACGGCCCAGGTCGTGCCCAGGAAAGACTGAGCAAGCTGGAGAAATTCTAAAAAAGAAAATGCTCTGTGGAGAAAAGCTGTCTATGCATTCCGGGGCGTGGCCTCCCTCTGGACGCCTGTCTGGTTCTCAGACGAGTGGCGTTTCCTCCCTTCTCCCTCTGTGACCATCGTCATCACTGTCGTCGCCACTTTTACAGCTTTCACTCTTCCAGGCCTTTTTATACATTGACTCTCTCAGTCCTCACCCTAGCGCTATGAAGCAGGTATTATTATTTTGGTCCCCAGTTTATAGATGAGGAAACTGAAAGGTTAAATGACTTGTCCAGGCAGCTAGTGAGCGCTGGGGCCGGGCCTCTGCCTCCCTTCCCTTCAGTGGGAAGCCCGCGGGGTTCTGCCCTGCGTTTCACCGACTCCCGCGTGTCCTTAGCGTGCAATCCTGACCGGAAGGAGCGAACCTGGGGTTCTGCTCAGTCAGTAAAACATGCTGGGGGAAGACTTAGCCATGAACTTGCTGTGTGACCGTGGCAAGTCACTCAACCTTTCTGGGCTCGGTTTCCTCGTCTGTAAAGTAAGGAAGTTACATTCCTCTATCCCTCACCTTCCTCTTGGCTCAAATTTTAAAAACTATGCAGAACAAATGAAACTTGCATTTGCAAGTTGCAACTAAAGATGCATCATCTTTAGTTCCTGATGTATCTCAGCAGCTGGTGGAGGGCGGGCAGAGGACAGCGCGCGACACAGCGGACTTGGAGGCTTCCGGGTCTTTGTTCTTTCTCCCTGTCCACGAACGCGTTCGTGTTTTGCTGGGCCACAGCCTATTTTCATCCTTTCAGCTGCTTCTCACAGGGGTCAGACCCACACTCGCCTTCCCCTGAACCCTGCAGACTGTACCAGGGGCTCCCCGACGCCCTATAGGCTGCAACTCACGCCTGCCCTGGGCTTCCTGGAACCCCCGCAGCCTGAGGCCCAGTGCTCTGCGGCTGCCAGATCTGTGAGCAGAATCCTTGGGACTGCGGGACCACGAGGCCTGGAAGCATCGTGCCATGTCCTCATCTGCCATCCACCCCTAGACTCCGAGCTGCTGGAGCTGGGAATAAAAATTCTCTGGAGGTGCCTTCCTTCTACTACCAACCTCCCCTTGGAGCTTCCAAAATTGAGGGCTCGGACTGGGCAGGCAAAACTCAGGGCCAAAAATGCCAAAGAGGCTGGGTTTAGTGGCTCACGCCTGTAATCCCAGCACGTTGGGAAGCTGAGATGGGAAGATCGCTTGAGGCCAGGAGTTCAAGACCAGCCTGGGCAACATGGTGAAACCCCCCCGTATCTACAAAAAAATTAAAAAATTAACTGAGTGTGGTGGCGCACAACTGTAGTTCCAGCTACTCGGGAGGCCAAGACAGGAGGATCACTTGAGCCCAGGAGTTTGAGGTTATAGTGAGCTATGATTGCATCGCTGCACTCTAGCCGGGGTAACAAAGCAAGACACTGATTCCAAAAAAAAAAAAAAAAAATCATATAAAAAAAAAGCCAGAGAGAGCTGGAAGGCTTTATTGCTCTCCTCAAGCCCCGGTTGTTTGACCCTGCCCGCCCTGAGGTCTTGGTGAGGATTAGCTGAGTTCCTGAAAGCAGCTCCGAGACCCTTACAGCCTCATTCCCTCCCGCCCCCCTTCTCTTGCCCCACAGTATTCAGGAAGAACCTCACTTTGGCCCTAGTTCAGCATCCCATGGGCCGCATCCCCCCATGGGTGAGTTTTGTGTGCTCTACACAGTGTTTAAAAATTTTCGAGCCAATTCTACAAAAAGGTTTCTTGTTATTTTTCTTTGCTTTTTAAACAAATCCTAAGATCCAGATGTTTTTGAGAAATAAGACATGCTGGCCACACTAGCTGCTTCACCGCCAGCCCCAGGCAGTGGCTGTGGCCCGTGCCTTCTGTTTTGCCAACGCCTCGGTGGCATCCTACCATCGCCATGTGTCTGGAGAGCCCTGGCTTCAAACACACGACA